AACTTTTCTTGCTTATTACATTGGTTACCTTCTTTAGAAAACCAAATTTCCCAGCAAATGAAACAAAATAGAACATAAATAATTAAGGTTAAATAGCTAGCTGCAGTGTTGAGTATTGGTGCCAGTTTTGAAAATGTTTCAATAGAATGAATGCTAATAACATGAAATCTAATGGATGAAACAATGTCTGGTCCTGAACTTCAGACCAGCCTGGGACAACCTGAGAAAACTCAATTTCCAGCTTCTCTGCTCAGTGGTGGAGCTGGGGCTGAACTGAGGGCCTCACATATGATAGACCAGACATCCAGGCTGCCCTCTTGACTCATTATCCCTTTGGAAACAGGGCATAACCAACCTGCCTGGGCTAACTTTGAACTTGAGACTCTCCTTCTGGGATTAAGATTACAAACATGCACCACCAAGACTAGCCAGAAAATATAATATTCTAACAAACCAAATATTATTTCTGACACATTTTAATGAATTAAAAAAAATTAAAGACAAATATTTTAAAATAGCAATTTCTGAGTACATTTAATAAACATGTCAAAAGTGGCATAGAATGTAGCTGTGATGGCCAGGCAGTGGTGGCACATATCTTTAATCCCAGGACTCCAGAGGTGGAGGCAGGTAAATCTTTGTGAGTTCCAGCCAGGTATGCTCTACAAAGCAAGTTATAGGACAGCTAAAGCTGGTACACAGAGAACAAATAAATAAACAAACAAACAAAAAAGAGTATTTGTAGAGCTGGAGAGATGGCTCAGCAGTTAAGAGAGCATTCAACTACTAGCTCAATGCCCAGCAGAGGAACAGTTCTCAACCACCTGTAACTGCGGCTCAGGGGACCTTCCTTTGGCACCCATGATTCTGATGTTTCCATACACGGATATATACAGCTTTTTGTATGTCTGTTTTCTTGTCGAGGCAGGGTTTCTCTGTGTAGCCCTGGCCATCCTGGAACTCACTCTGTGGTCCATGCTGGCCTGGAACTAGATTCACCTGCCTCTGCCTCCCCTTGAGTATTGGGATTAAATATGTGAGCCACCACTACCCAGCTTCACATTTTTTTTTTCTTAAAGAGTAGTTGTAATGATGGTGGCGATTTGTAACCTCTGAATTCATTACTGAATTAACAGTATCCAAAGCTCAAGGCCAGCCTGGGACAATTAACAAGAAACTATCAAAAATGAATAAATAGAGATAGATTAATTATTTATTTAACGGGAGTGGGGGGCAAAAGAAATTTTTAAAAAAAGTGTCTTAAGTGAACTAACTTGCAATCCAGAAATGGTCAGATATAAACTACAATCAAGCTGTTTATCAGTCACTATGTCAGCTGTCACCATCAAAAACTAAAGTCAACCTGTAATACCCTGTCATAGAAGTAGAGACTTCATTATAGACAACAAATATTTGTTCTTTGTTCTTACTAAAAGCAGTGAATAAAATTCTCCTTTTGCGACTTTCTTGTGGCCCTTCAGGGAAGAGAATGCTTCTTCCCCCAGGGTTAGGGTTTTCATTCAGAAAAAAACTAGGAAAGTGCCATGCATGAAAGAATGTCAATGACAAAGTTAGCATCTTTTACATTTGAGAGGCTTAGATATAGAAGAATTCTTGTCACTAGACGCCACTATTTTGCTGAACCTGAAACCAGGTCAAAAATATTAGAACTAAGGGCTCATTTTGAGACAAAAGTAATTTACTTTGTCACAACACCCAACAATTGCATATTCTTTTGTTTTGTTTTGTTTTTGAGACAGAGTTTCTCTATATAACAACCCTAGCTGTCCCGGAACTATCTCTGTAGAACAGGCTGGCCTCTACCTCCCCGAGTGCTAGGGTTAAAGGTGTGCAGCACCACCGCCTGGCTCTGATAACACATTCTTAAAGGTATTTAAACCATGAAACATAAAGAGGCTAAGAGATGGCTCAGCAGTTAAGAGCACTGGCTGCTCTTCCACAGGTCCTGAGTTCAATTCCCAGCAACCGCACGGTGGTTCACAACCATGTATAATGAGATCTGGTATGTTCTTCTGGTGTGCAGGTATACATGCAGACAGAACACTATATATATAATAAATAAATAAATCTTTTTAAAAAAAAATACAACAGGACCTAAAAACTGATGAAGTACTGAGCCTGTTGGAAAATGCAAGCATCTTTTACTGAATTCGAACCATCAGTCTCATATGTTTGCATGCTTGGCCCCCAGTTGGAGAACTGTTTTGAAAGGGTCCCTTGATGGAACAGGTGTGTCACTGCAGATGGGTTTGGAGCACTCAAAAGCCCAGGCCAAGCTCTGCATGGCTCTCTCCTTGCCGATCAGGATATAGAGCTCTCAGCTACTTCTGCTGACAGCCTGCTTGTGATCACCCTCCAGGCCATGGCTGATCAAGAACTAACCCTCTGAAACTGTAAGCAAGCCCCCTAGTAAATGCTTTCTTTTATAAGAGTTGCCTTGGTCATGGTTGTCACTTGACAGCAATAAAAAACAGTGACTACGACATTTACTAATGTTAGTTTTAAAGCAAGTAAAATTTCAAATTCCCAATGTATTCATCAATAAGTATTAAATCATATGTAAGAGGGAGCACAAGGCCAGGGCTATAGCTGAATGGTAGAGTTCTTTGTTTGCTTGCTCGGAGTCCTGACTGCAGTGGTAACAATAAAAAACACTCATGATAATGCACCCAGCATTTATACTCTATAAATATGAGAATTTTAAGCATCTTTTTTTTTTGTTTACTATCCTTTGTTTTTTATTTTATTTATTTATTTATTTATTTTTTGGAGACAGGGTCTCTCTGCATACCCCTGGCTGTCCTAGAACGCACAGAGATCTTCTTCCTCTCAGTGCTGGAGTTAAAGATGTATGCTACCACACCTATATATATGTGTGTGGGTGTTTTGCCCACATGTGAGGGAAGTGCCCACAGAAGTCACAAGAGGTTGCTGGGTACTCCAAGACCAGAGTCACAAATGGCAGTACAAATCTGCGAATGTGGGTGCTAGGAATTTATCACGTCCTTTGGAAAAGCAGCCGTGTTCTTAACCACCAAGCAATCTCCACAGCCTCACAAATTTTTAAAAGACAAGGACATGGAAAATTCATTGAAGTTCGCAGGAGATCTCCAATGCTAACAGCTTATATACCTGTTTCTGTACCAGCAGAGGGTGGGAAAGTGGTGTCATTAGGAAATTTTGAAATACAGAGAAAAGGAAATATACATCCCACCTAGATGCATAAACTCTAACATCCTCTCCTCGTGTATTTAACACATTTGCATCAAAATCAAAGTTAAAGTCTCCGTACTGGACACAATGTGTTAAAATCAAGAAATAGGAATGTCACAAACAAATACCACTGGCGTTTGTTCTCATGTCCCTGGGAACCGTCTGTACCATCTTCTCATATATTCCCCTCACTCTGAATGCACAATTGAATCAGAGGGACATTTTTAAAGATGCTTTCACTTAGATTCAGGAAAGACAAAAATCTTAAGTACTTTATAGAATTACACAGTGCTGGCATGAAAAACATACAATTACATTCACGCCAACTTCAGCAATGCAGAAACAAAACATAAAACAAAACAAAACAAAAAACCTTTACAATTTTGGCTCAAGACTAAGAACTCAGAAAATACACTGGTGCACAGTGGGGGGAAAAATCAACTAGCAATAAGTCCAGGACATTAAACCTTCAAAATTCATGGCCTTTTCAGTCACCCTGTCTTTAGTATAAAAGAAAGTAAACACCATTTAAACTTGCACTTCTACTGAACAAAAAGAGCTACATTAAATGATATACAGGTCAAAGAATGGTATAATAAGCTGTGATTTGGGAATTAGGTTTTCAGGATTTTTGTCTTTTATTCCCCTAATTATGTTTCACACTCAGCCTGCTTCTGTCAATAGGTCCACCTTACATTTGAATGCCATGTTACCTAGGTTGAAGGTTAATTCATGTAACATTTAAAATTGTCAGAATAATCCAGGAACCTTGAGGTTTTTTGTTTTTGTTTTTCCCTAAGAAAAGTGACTTCTCCAAGCACATTTATATTAGCACAAAATTTATATTAGCACAGTGGCCAGATAACTTAATCTATTTTCCCCCCATGGGGGAGACCCTCACAACTATTTTAGGCCAAGACAAGGCTTTCTCTAACTATTTTAATATGGAATTTTAATATACAGTTTGTTCCATTTCTAATCCAGTTAAATACTAGGATTATGCATTGAGTAAAACAAGTAACTTGGCTATGGAAATGACTACAGAAGACCAAATTTAGTAGTACAAAATGGATGGTCATTGTCATCATAAAATTGAATATCTAATATATCAGACACATAGTAGTTCATTTACAGGCACAAAATCCATTAGTTTATAGTCCAAACGGATAGTTGACATCTAAAATGAGCACCAAAAAGAATTCAAGAACATTATGAAGTCTCCAAAAATGTTAGGATCCAAGTCTTAGAGCTGGTTTCCAGCTATATGTAATAGTTCATTATCCCACCAGAAACAATAGATTAGCAATGTAAACATGATGGTGTAATAAATCCACACAAGTGGGTGAATTTCCTAAACTTACTAAAATATAATCTCATTTAGAAAACTTTTGTTAATATTCACATCTGTCAAAATGTGGGTGTTGTGTTTAAAAGCCAATCATGTTGGCAAGAGCCAAGAAAATCAAACTGTACAACTAGACAATGCCAGAAGCAGAAAGTGAGAGAGTGTAGAGAAGTCTGTTTTTCATTAGCTGGTACCAGTTTTCACAACTTGTCACTGCTTTGTTTCTTACTATGGGTGTGTGTATATGACTGTGTGTGAGCATGCTTGTGTGCGCTCTGAATTTGTACTAACTCCGTCTCTTGTGGGCTGGAAATGAAGGACATAATCAAAAACACACAAAGAAAAAAAAAAGCAGGATCCATTTTTATTCACCCCACCCTCTAATGCGGATGTGGAAACAGCATCAAGCTTGAGATCTTACCCTGTTCGTTTGGTGATGGTGCCCAATGTCATTGGCTGTTTGATTTGTGCAAGAGGCGTCACTACCATCAGGCTGGGGAGAGGAGAAAGCCGGGGGTTCCCAGGGTTGTTGTTGGTGAAGTTATTGTAAGAATCTTGGCTGTTTAGCTTCCCTACAAGAGAAAGGCAAACCAAAGGGTCACTGATGGAAACATCCCTCCCTCTGAAAGGTTTTCATTTAAGAAAGATATCAAGGGCTGGGGGAATGACTCAGTGGGGAAAGGGACTTGTTCCAGAGCCCAACAACCTGAGTGGTTTCCAAACCCTATAAGCTGTCCTATAAGCTGTCATCTGATCTCCACATACATGCAAATAGTAAGTAAATAAGATAAAATTTAAAGGAAATTGATGCAAGTGTAATTAAAGTCCATAGGCACTGGAAGAAACCAACACAATCAGGTCACAGAAATGTCAACAGTGACATTAGTGACAGTCTTAAAGATTGTACATGGACTTTGTTTTTCACTTTCTGGGTGTGCATGAGCACACAGGTATGTGCATGGATGTATACAAACATACACACACACACACACACACACACACACATACACACACACACACAAAAATGTCAACGCCAGGCATCTTCTTCAATGGCTCCAGGTTAGTATAAGATGGGGTCTTGGACTGAATCAGCTAAAACAGCCCCCAACACTGGGATTACCCATCTGGGCTGCTGGACAGGGCTTTTTACATGTGTGCTAGAGATCCAAACTCAGGTTTTCACACTCGTGTGTCAGCAAGTTAACAGATCTCATAGCCCCCAGAATTCTTATGTTTTAAAGTACTGTGGTTTTCTACTCATCCTTGCCTGTTCTGATAATAGAATTTACTGTACTTTTAAGAATGTCTAAAAGAAGCCGCTTGGCCTTTAATGGCTATTGAGTTGAATCTTTTGATCAACATGAGAAGTGTGGATAGTTTTCTCTACCTAAGGATCCACATCTACAGATTCAATGAACTGTAAAACAAAAGCATGGTCTTGGGGGAAAAACTGCAGAAAATTTGAAGTTCCAATGTAATGAGCACCACTAAGAGACATGTCAATGCACCAGTGTACAAGCACCCTGTGGTATGCTACAATTTCAGTTTCTCATTAGAACTGATAGGCATGACCTTGTTTGTGTATTGTGCAGTTAGGCCAAGAGGCCAATGATGACTGTTACCAATCCTCAAACTTGCCCTGTAGCTCTGAAAGGTAAGAATGGCATCTTCTAAACTCCATCAGGAAGATGGTGACATCCAAAGCAGGACATGACTAAGGAAATGCTGCATCTCAAGGACACAGTGTTTATATCGCTGCCTGGAATTAACACATTAAGCTAAGGTAGGGCAGATAAGAAACCCAAGCACAACAATCTCTAACTCCCCATACTAACAAATTCCAATTTCATTAGAGCCAGTAGAAGCTATTCACACCTATTGCTGGGATACAACAGACACCAGTCAGAACACACACAAAATGTATTAGCCTGATCAATTAACCAGACAATATTATACATACAAGAACAAAGAATGTTACAGAAAAATGAAGAATAATAAAAGAAGAAACCTTTTTCATTCTTGGGTCACTCAGAGTGACTTATATTCTCAAGGTCAATACAGACAATAGCTGACAATTCATTATCAGATGAGTATACTTGTACTGAAATGAGGATCCAACATTAATATGTCACAAGCTAATAAAATGCAGGATCTGTGTATGTCACATACATTTGTCAGCTAGTGAGCACAGACCTGGTGAGTGCCTCAGCCTAAGACACCGTGCTGTGGGGGCTGGGATCCCTCTGTACCACAAAGCTGACAGGACCCAGAATGATTCAGTGCTAACTGTCTAGAACTGAAGATAACGACATGTGGGGACAATTATTTAGAAATAGACCGCATGGGAGGTGACTTAGTTAGATAACGAGTGAGAGAGCAGGGAAAGGCAAGGCCTGAAGGATACCATAAAGGAAAGGTGAGTGCAGGGGTGCCATTGCAGGAGCAGAAGTCTCGAAACACTTCTGAAAGGTGCAACAAAGTGGGAGGGAAGCTTATTTCCCTTTTAAGATCCCTAGTGACCAACCAACCAACCAACCAACCAGCCAACCTTCCTTCCTTCCCTTCCAACCCTCTTGTTTTCCTTCCCTCCCTTCTTCCCAACACTTCCCAAAGCTGGCCTCTAACTCAAGGTCCTCCTGCTTCAGCCTCCCTAGCACAGCCATTACAAGTGTGTCCTATGCTACCAGGCCTAGAAGGAGCAGTACATACTAACAAAATTTCTTCATCAAGCAAACATAAGATGTTGAGCTCATTGAACACTACTGATAAGATATTTGAGCTGAGAATGTGCTATAGTGATAGAGCACTTGTCTAGCACAGACTCTACAACAAGAAATAAAACAAAGACAAATAGTGAAAAAGAGAGAGGTGAGTCCCTAAGATTCACTAAGATGCTCCCAATGCAGTGCTTTAGCTGGCCATGTCTCTGCAGCTTCACTTTCTCTCTAGGATACAGGACCACCACACAACAGTGTGGAAGGTCCTAGAAACTCCTGAGCCTAGACAAGTGTTTATAGTATCCTTTCGTCCTCAAACTGCAGTCTCTGTCTGTGACACTGTAACCAGAGTGTGTAAAGTAGGTTATGTAGACTTTACACTTGTTTTGTGTTAACAGGGTAGTGTCTGTGTTACATACTACTAGTTCTGGCAAAAAGTGTATAAATATAGCTCCCCTTTTAATCAAATCTCTCTGGAGATCCCATACATGTCCACTAGGCAAGCAAGCACTATACCAGAGCTATATCTGAGCCAAGCATAACTTAAAAGAAAGGGTAAATATGTTCTATAAAAGTTCAGTAATACTGTTTTTTAAATGTAATTTTACTATATTTTGTGTACATTGGTATTTTGACATGAGTGTCAGGAACTGGACTAACAGACAGTTGCTAACTGCCATGTGGGTGCTGGGGATTGAACCCAGGTCCTCTGGAAAAGCAGTCAGTGCTCTTAACCACTAAGCAATCTCTCCAACCCCAATTCTGTTATATATAATAACCAAGTATACTGCCTGATTAGAAATCAACACATTACCCAAAAATCCTATTTATAATAGCTATTAAAAACACCTTGGGGCTGGGGATGGAGATCAACTGGCAGAGTATTTGCCTAGCAATACATATGTTTGATCCTAGCACCACTTAAACCAGATAAGGTACACATGCCTGTGATCCCAGCACTTGGAGGATCAGAAAGCTTAAAGCCATTCTTAGCTACATATTGAGTTCAAAAAAGCCTGGACCACTATCATTATCACAAAATAGAAACGAAGATGGGAAAGGGGGGGGGAGAGGAGAGGGGAGGGAGGTAGAGAAATAGAATAAATTTAGGAAAGGAATAAATTTAGTTCAAGAGCAGAAAGATTTATAAAACGAAAGCTGCAGGTTGGGAAGTAGTTCAGTGGTAGAATGCTTGCCTAGGGTCTATAATTCCAAATACAGCAAACAAGGAAAAAAGAAAAGTAAAAAATGCGGAGAAAACAAATTTGGAAAGGAACAAAAAATTGGAAAAGTAATCTTATGCTTATGGTTTAAAAAATTCAGTATCAGCTGGGCGGTGGTGGCACACGCCTTTAATCCCAGTACTCAGGAGGCAGAGGCAAGCAGATCTCTGTGAGTTCGAGACCAGCCTGGTCTACAAGAGCTAGTTTCAGGACAGCCTCCGAAATCACAGAGAAACCCTGTCTTGAAAAACAAAAACAAAAATCAGATCATTAAAATGTCCTGCTTCCCGAATCAAAGTGGATGTAATTCCTGTCAAATACCTACAACCTTCTTGGGGCTAGGAATGAGAATTCAAATACCAAGGATTGAACTCCAAAAGCTAACAGACACCCAACAGCTTCTAAGCAAAAACAACCAAGTAGGAAACAATGCACAGGCAAATGCATGAAGATGAGGAAGTTTTGCATAGCCCTGAGTGTTAGCATGGCCACAAGGTGGTTAACAACCAACTGTAACTCTAGAGTCATATGACCCGAAGCCCACTCCTGACCTCCATGGGTACCAGACACATACATGGTACACAGACATATATGAGGAGAAAACACTTATACACAAAAATAAATAAAACCCTGCTTACCCAGTCCCCTTTAAACACACAGAAATTTTACATTTTCTTGGACTTAGGAAGTAGCTCTACACAGAGCTTCAAAATACGAAGAACACAGTTCAATCCCACAAAACCATGAAAAAGGTGGTGAGTGAATGGCAGGGCTTGTAATCTCAGCAAGGAGAAGTAGAGACAACGATTCCTAAAACACAGTGGTGATTCTAAACTAACTGGTGAGTTCTAGGCCAATGAGAGACACCATGTCAAAGGAGGTACGCTGTGTTCCTTCGGATAACCTACACCCCCATCTGTGTGTATATGCAAATGAATGAGATTTAAACTAGGTAAAAAGGAACATACAAACTAACGAATGAATGGACCAGGAAAGACTGCACAAGTGGAGAAGCCAAGTGTTAGGTAAAGGGACCCCAGACAGGAAATGATAGTGACAGGTGTGGAAATGACATTATAAGCAGAGAAGACACTAACAAGGGAGCCAAGGTGTGTCTCAGCACCTCTTCTTTAATGACTCAGTTTGAGGCTGGCTGGGGTCACACCTGTACTGATATACTGTTTGTAATCTAAGCCACAGCTGCCTGTCCTCTATGGCTAACTACTGGCTCAGCTCTGCATTCTGACCTTTAGGCAAGCGTTATTTGTTAGATTACAGTGTATCGCACACACCCTCTGCTCAGTCTTGACCAGCAAGTCCAAGAGACATTCAGTGTGTTCCTAACATGGCGGTGGAGGGAAGGAGGAAAACGAACAGATGATGGGAAAAACACGTTACAAGTGACATCTGAAAAACAGCTCAGAGACAGGGAGAAGGAGTTACCGTTATTGTTATAAAGGACAACTTAAAAAGGAAGATGAATCACATACATTTTGCACATACAGGAGTTTGCTTCTCTAATAGAAAGCAAAGGGTGACAAGAAAGAAGCATGAATGATGATATCAGGGGTTAGCAAAACAAGAGACAGCACAGACAAGAAATTTCAGTAGCAGACACAGTGATGTACAGTT